GATGGCCTACCTGGGGCTTGTGGTGCTCTACGATAGGCTGCCATGCGCATGCCTAGGCTGCGATGATGCACCTAGGCTGCGATGGTGCGCCTTGAGCTTGCGGTGGTGCGCCTAGGCGTGCTAGGTGCATGCTAGCTTGAACTAGCCTAGCATCCACATGGCTAGGCCAGTGTGGTGCTAGGGCTATGTTCGTACTTGTCACTTTTTTATTTTGCGACGCTCGGTCTCGACGCCCTAGGCTCGATTTTCGACGTCTGTATTCATAAAACTCTGTTGACTCATTAAATCCTTTCAGATTAATTTGTCGTCTCAGATCGGTGATTCGATTGGGTTCGACCCGAAGGGTTTAGTTAATATTAAGTTGTAACATCAATTGCACATTGATATTACTGATCGGAAGCGGCCTCCACCTAGGCATTCCGATCGCTTGACCTTACTGAAGAATTAGCTCCGTAATAATTTTGAACCCTCAATCGAAAGAATACACTTGGTGGAAGGACACCATTCCTTTCACCAACATGTCTCGAATTACATTGAGTTCCTCGCTCGTGAATGGATTTCCCGTTTGTCCCTTGCAAAACTTGGAATACATACACAAAACGTAAGTTAGTAGGAGTGAACTCATAAATAATCGTAACATGTCTTTATCACTTATTTATAGGTGGCTAAGGCTTTAAATTACAAGAAAATAGCAATTAAGGGGTTATAGAACGCATTTTCAACCAAAATGGCCCAAGTAAGGCCATTTTCACTACTAGGATGCCTATTTCCTACATTTCTTGTCTAGTGAACTCATAAATAGTCATAACATGTCAATATCACTTAGTTATTGGTGATTAAGGCTTGAAATTACAAGAAAATAGCAATTAAGGGGTTGTAGAACGCATTTTCAACCAAAATGGCCTGAGTAAGGCCATTTTCACTACTAGGATTCCTATTTCCTTCATTTCTTGTCTAGTGAACTCATAAATAGTCATAACATGTCTTTATCACTTAGTTATTGGTGACTAAGGCTTGAAATTACAAGAAAAAAGCAATTAAGGCGTTTTGGAACGCAATTTCAACCAAAATGGCATACCTTTCAAGTTGTTGTGTGTCTGTATAATGACTCATCACTATGTCATACATGAATCTCATCACGTATAGGCCACAATAAACTCCGTTTTCCTGTTGTGCGCACTAGCATGAGGAACAAAGCACATGAATCACAATGCATAGCAAATTAGCCACATCTAACGCATTGTATATTTAGAATATCACAACATCATGTGGCATTACCTTGGGTGCTTTCTAGGTTGAGGTATGGACCTCACGAGGCGCTTTCTAGGTTGAGGTAACCGAGCAGAATCAAAGAAGAAGATTGTGTTACTGGAAACACAAATCATCATTAGGGTCCAATGACAACTACACACGAGACAAACAAATCAATATTTAGCCTAGTACATCATATAAACTGGGAAAACAAATGAATTTGACAATCATAATCAGACGTACTCCTCATAATATGGGACGAATATAAATTTGTCTCTCGCAGCCACTGATTCCTTGATAGCCCGTTCAGCATAGTACAACACGTCAGCGGAGTTGCCTAAGATTCTAGCAGTGGACATCTGCTTAGGGCATAACCACCCAATTTGACACGGAGATTCAAACTCCCATATTTGCTCCTGGATAGCTCTGCATGCATGATAATAGAATGTTAATCGAAAACCAAACGACAATCACCACTAAACTGAATAACATAAATTGAGTACTAGTTGAATTACCTGATGCATATTTGAATGAGGGAAATGTTAAGCATTGCACCACTTAGAAATTCCTTCACATCTTCTTTGAATAGCCATGCCATTGCATCATCATCGTAGTGGAACATTTCCTTAGGTAGTGGAACTTGAATGGGGCTATCACTAGGAAACACACAAACACGGTTGTGCAGATAAGTTAACTCCTTAGAGAGCGACTGAAGCACCGTGTCTTCAACTAGTGGAGTAGCTTGCATAGCTGAACCTCGCGAAGAGCTCTTGTTCGGCGCTTTTCCATCATCGACCCATGTTCACTCCTCTTCTTTGACATCGGTCGATCAATGCTCTTTTGCCCCTCCACCCTCTTCTTTGAAGTTTGGCTTTTCCTCGATGGCTAATAAGACAAATTAAAGCACACAAATGGTTAAAAAAGAATTTCTTCCAACTCTTGGGATTAAAATCGGGTATAGAGTAAAGCGTGAACTCTAAATGTAAATTACCTGGGTCGTAAACCGTATCTAAGCACATGGCCATTGCACAAAACTACCTTTGGTTGCCCAAAGTGTAGTGAACTCATCCTCCTCTACGGGCACATGTATTAGGATGTCCTCGAACACGGCCACCACTGAATTGATCCCAACCGAATAGTGCTCTGGCCGAAGCGGTCGCAAATGGACCGTACCTTGTTCGGCCGGTTGAGCACTTCCATACGCAACCAAGTTCAAAGCTCCACTGTATGAATCGCCCGGGTGAAGAAGTTCACAACGGGTCTCTTCCTACACCAATTAGGAAGATCAGTTGTTAGAACCAAGTAGAACAAAGAAAAGCAAAACAAAAAAAAAAGTAGAACAAAAAAAAACAAAATAAAACAAAACAGCTATATAAAAACAGCAAAACAGCACAACAACAAGGGCACAGGTAAAAACAGCAGCAGCAACGCAAAAACAGCAACACAGCACTGCTGCCTACTACTTGCTGCCTACTGCCTGCTGCACTGGTGCACTGCCGCAATGATGTGCACTGGTGCACTGCTGCCAGCTGCTGTGCTGTACAGTGGTGCACTGCTGCTTGCTGCACTGCTGTGCTGTGCACTGGTGCACTGTTGTGCAGTGGTGCACTGCTGCACTGTTGTGCAGTGGTGCACTACTGCCTGCTGCTGTGCTGTACAGTGATGCGATGTGCACTAGTGTGTTGTGCTGTGCACTGGTGTGCTATGCACTAGTGTGTTGTGCACTAGTGTGCTGTGCACCGGTGTGCTGTGCACCGGTGTGCCGTGCACCGGTGTGCTATGCACTAGTGTGCTGTGTTGTGCACTGGTGCACTTGTGCACTGGTGCTGTGCACAGCAAGCACATCATTGCTAGCCCTTGTGCTGCAACAAACCAACAGCAACACACAACACTGGTGCACATCGCATCACTGTCCAGCACAGCAGCAGGCAGCAGTGTACCACTGTACAACAGTGCAACAGTACACCAGTGCACAGCACAGCAGTGCAGCAAGCAGCAGTGCACCACTGCACAGCACAACAGCTGGCAGCAGTGCACCAGTGCAGTAGGCAGCAGTGCTGTGTTGCTGTTTTTGCGTTGTTGCTGTTGTTTTTACCCCTTGTGCAGCAACTAACAACAGCAACACACAACACCAACAACATTTTAATAGCAACACATCATTAGCAACTCAACCGGAACAACATACAGCAAAAAACAACGCAAAAGTCGCACAACACAACAAACTTCACAAATTCATAGCTGAATCAAAGAACCAATATCACCATCCAAAGAAATAACTACACAACTCACCTGTAGAACCGGAAAGTCATGAGGTGTTGGATTTTCAAGCTCCCTCAAGTACGCATGTGCAGGATTACCAACCTGCAACAGTGTATTGATAGTGCAAGGCTAATTAGAACCCATGTAACTCAACAAGTCAAAATACTTATAGATTAGAAACCACTTAATCATGTACCTCCTCGTCTACATGTATCTCATCTTCTCCTTGTTTTCGTGGGTAACTACAAGAGTCGACCGGTGTAGTCGAGGAGAAAGGCAAGCTCGGAAAGTTCATTTGCTTTTCCCATGCATTGAACTCTTCTCGCATCTCGTTGCACACTTGTTCCTTAATTGATGCCACCGTAGCATCCAAGTTGACCGGTGAGTTCACACTTGCCCGAGATCTCCCTGATTTGGTATATTCTGGACCCATCACCTTCTTCCATCCTAGAAAGCTCCCCCTCGCACCCAATACGCGTCCTGGATGGTAGGGCTTTCCCAAAGCCAAGGTGAAAGGGTCCTTTTCCACTGTTGGGACGAGCTTGCCTTCAACAAGCTCTCCAGTGTACTCAAGCTGTAGCAAAAGCAAAAAGGCAACATCAAGTTAGTGTTTATGTAAAGTGATATATATACAATAGATTCATGCAGTTCACAATTCACAGTTGCTTACAAGTTTATCTGCCATTTCTTTTGTTTCTGGAGCCTTGATGGACAATTTTCCGATTTTCTTTTGTCACGAGAATGCAAAGAATAGAAGAAATCTCCAGCACGACTCACCAAAGTACTGGTCGTGGAGTCAGAGGGAACAGTGGAGGACCCTAGTAGCGAAGTGGGGTATACTCCCTCATTCACCCACGTCTCCCTCCATTCATCAAACGTCATACAGCCCGTACGATGGTAGTATTGCTTCTACATTGCATTCTTGGAATTCTGCTCTCTTATTTCCTACATAATTAGACATATTAGTTTCAAAACTACCAAAATATTAAATATATTTTACAATTGTCATCAGAGTTACCTGAACTTACAATTGCTTCTTTTTTGCTTTTTTGAAGAACGAAAGCATCCCAATCTTCCTTTGATACACTAGGCCGTATTTGCCATGGGAGTTTCTCTTCATCGATGACTTCTTCATCCATGCCACCTTCTTTCTTGTTCTTTGGCTTTCTCACAAGCTTCTTTGTGATAAACCGACGAACTAAGGTGGTCTTGAAGCCTCTGAATCTTGTCGCAAGTAAGGATTCAAACACCCTTCGCTTGGCGTACTCATTTGGAATGTTAAATAGACTCTGCAAGCACAAATAACAGTCATTATTAGTTTGCCCATTAAATAACAATAAATTGAAGGAATTTACAAATGTGGAAACAAATCACTTACCCGTGTATCATTCCAAAACGTGTCTATCAAGCCAATAGGTACGTCGCTCAAACAAAGAGTAATGGGGATTTTGCGCGCACAAATCCTAACTTGAACAGCATACTAACGACGCCATTTGCCTGTAGGTTGTCCTACCCTGTCATACTCCAAGACCATTGGACCGACAGGTTTCTTGAAACTTGTAGTCGGACCCCTCAGCTTTTTCTGCGCTGGTCCCTTCACCCTCCCTCCACTTTGATCCTCGCCGAACGACTCAGACATTGCATTCCCGATAGGAGGCACTTGTTCAGCTACAAATTAAAACTCATCAAGCATACGATCCAAAACATCTTGAGCCTGATCTTCTACCTCACCCAAATCAGGCTCCTTGTTCACATCATATAACTCGTCCCCATCCCCAAATGAATCATCATCATCATCCTCTACATCCTCCACTCCAATACGGTAGTGATCATCCGCCATGAGATGTAAAACCTGTCATTACAAACATAACACGTTATTAGTTGTAATATAAATAAATTTGTAAGGTAAATTTATAATCAAATATAAATTGCTGAATTATAATACAAATTAACATAGAAAATGGGGAACTAAGTTACTTCATTCATTTAAAAGAAAATAAGAAAAATGGGCAAGTAAGTTAGCAATTTCATTCATTTTCACCTAAAAATGTGATTTAATAATACTTTCGACGCCTAAAATTTCAAACTAACAAAAACTAGTACCTCAATCTAATATTCCTTCGTCGTGGTCTGATCGCATGTAATTGGCTTGGTCGTCTATCTCATTTGGTACAACAGGTCTAGGAATAGTGAAAGGTGTTGAGTCATCAAACGCATCATATTCTTCCTCATCCTCGACATCTCCAACGCCAAGGATTCTTTTTTTTCCGGCTAGCACAATAGACCATTTTGAGTCGGCTGGATCACTTACGTAAAACACTTGCTTGGCTTGAGATGCAAGGATGAATGGTTCAGCACTATCATTTAGGAGGCCAAGATCTACAAGAGTAAAGTCATCATGTTTGACGTTACGCCTGATATTATCAATCCATTTACACCGGAAAAGAGCAATCGTGAAGTCACAATAATCAAGCTCCCATATTTCTTGAATTCGACCGTAGTATGACAACTCTGCATCAACAGGTGATTTATCCTTAGCACTTGCAAACTCCCTTGACGATTCCACAAGCATTACAACACTGTTTTGGGTGGAGGATGATTTCAAATCCTGACGCTCAGTCCAAAATGTGTACCCATTTATGTCATATCCCTCAAATGAGCGAACGTCATCCCTAGGACCATAAGCAAGCCACCTTACTGTATCCGTGACACTCTCATACTTTCCACTCATCACTCGATCACGAAACCAACTCACAAACTTCTTATTATGCAACTGCATCAGTGCCCGTTCACCTTTCGATGGAAATTCATCACGCAAACTATCCATGTGCTCGTCTAAATATGGGTGAACATCTGCAACATGGTGCAACACATATAGGTGTGCTTGTAAGAACTTATCTCGATCAGGTGACATTCGTTTCAACCCGATTGTGCCATGACCATCAAGTCTCCCTTCGTGTTGAGAAGTAGGAATACCAATAGGTTTAGAAACGGCTATATAGTCGGCCACAAAATTACCGACCTCCTCAGCCACGGTCCCTTGAATCATACTTCCTTCCGGGTGAGCCCGAAACCTGACTTTATCTTGCAATGTACCCATATGTCTTTCAAAAGTATAGCACCACCGCATGAACACTGGACCGCATAACTTATTCTCACGCACCAAATGAAGAATCAAATGCACCATTATGTCGAAAAACGAGGGTGGGAAGTACATCTCAAATTTGCACAAAGTCACAACCACATCCGCCTGTAAAGCATCAAGTGTACAAGGATCAAGCACTTTGCTGCATATTGTACTGAAAAACGAACAGAGGCTTGTAATAGCTTCCCGCACGTGCTTTGGTAAAATACCATGTATTGCAATTGGTAGGAAAACTTGCATCAAAACATGACAATCATGGGATTTCATACTTGTCAGCTTCAATTCTCCATTTAAGGATACAAATCTTTTCATGTTAGATGCGTACCCTGATGGAACCTTAATGCCATACATACATGCACAAAACATCCGTTTTTCTACCCTTGACAATGTGTAGCAAGCCAGAGGTAAATAGGCCTTGCACTCCTTCGCTTTTCCCTCATTTTTCTTCTTCGACGCATCTGTGGCCTTTCCCTTTCCCTTTCTCTTCCCCTTTCCTGTTTTCAAACTCAATTCATTTTCCTTTTCCTTTTCCTTTCCCTTACTAACCCTTTGCTGAACCCACAATTCTGGACGAACCCCCATCTTTTTCAAATCGTCCCGTGCACCCTTTCCATCCTTTGTCTTGCTTTGAATATTCATCAGCGTTCCCACAAGAGCATCACACACATTCTTCTCTATATGCATTACATCAATACAGTTCCTAACGTCATGTTCTTTCCAGTACGGGAGCAACCAAAAGATTGATTCTTTTTTAAAGAGAGTAGTTGACTCCGCCGCTTTTTCTGATTTCCCAAAGACTGTTCGTACACCCTTTACTCGAGCGTAAACCTCCTCACCAGTCAACGGCCTAGGAGAAATCCCCTCTTCCACTGTCCCATCGAAAGCCTTTTTCTACCTACGGTACGGGTGATCGCGCCTGAGCAACCTTCGGGTGCGCAAGTACACCTCTTTGTGAGAATGATCAAGGCGCCTGCTTTGCGTATCATCAATACAAATGGGGCATGCTTTTTTCCTTTTGTTCTTATACCCGGACAAGTTGCCATACACAAGAAAATCATTAACGGTCCACATAAGAGCTGCACGCAATGTGAACATCTCATTCTTACGAGCATCAAAAACAGAAACCCCTTCGTCCCACATCTTTCTCAAATCATCAACAAGGGGAGCAAGATAAACATCTATGTCGTTTCCAGGTTGCCTTGGCCCCGATATCAATAGAGAAAGCATTACGTATTTCCGTTTCATGCACAACCAAGGAGGCAAATTGTAGATCACTAACAGTACCGGCCATGTGCTATGCTGGGTACTGAGAGTGCCAAATGGATTCATCCCGTACGTGCGCAAACCAAGCCTTAAATTTCTAACTTCATCACCAAATTCTCCAAACTTGATATCAAGGTTCTTCCATTGCGTGGAGTCGGCTGGATGCTTCAGCATTCTGTTATTCTTTCTTCCCTCTGCATGCCACCTCAAGTTTTTAGCGTCTGTTGGTGTTGAGAATAGACGCTTAAACCTTGGAATAATGGGAAGATACCACAACACCTTAGCAGGCGGTCCCTTCTTACCAGCATTGCAACTCATGCGCTTGTAGCGCGACTTCTTACATCGTGGACACTCCTCCAATTTTTCATATTCATTTCGATAAAGAATACAATCATTAGGACATGCATGTATCTTCTTATACTCCAAACCAAATGGACACAAGAGCTTCTTAGCGTAATAGTAAGACTTAGGAATTTCATTCCCGTCGGGCAACATCTCACTTAACAAGCTCAACAAAGAAGTAAAACTACTGTCCGTCCACCCATGCTTCGACTTAATGTTAAAAAGTGTTAGCACGGCGCATAGTTTAGAGTATTTTTTGCACCTAGGATACAAAGGCTTTTTAGAAGCCTCCGATAATGACTCAAACACGTTACCTTCAAAACCACGCATCATCTCATCCACCCCTTCATCCTCAACCTCATCCACATGATCATCCTCAAATCCATCCTCAACACTAGTATCAACAATATGTTCATCATTCTTGTATTCCTCGTCCACAAAAATGTCATTGTTTCTATCATCATGCACATCATTCCCAATAACATCCCCACTGTACCCTCCTTCTTCACCGTGCCAAATCCACACATGGTATTTAAGCCTAAACCCACGACAAACTACATGATATCTAATGATATCAACACTATTGACCACCTTCACATTATTAAAATCAACACAAGGACAATAGAGGCAATCGAAACCCATTCTGCGCTGATAAGATAAAGCCCTCGCGCAAAACTCTTGAACCCCATTAAAGAATTCCAATGTATCACGTCTACCATACATCCAGCCACGATCCTTCTCCATTAAGTAAATTGTCTCTAAACAGGGCAACATATTACGAATCATGTATAATTGCTACCATTTATTATATATGTAAATCAAATTCAAACACACAACATGCATATAACATTTATATAGATACAAAAATGCATATATGCTTCCAAAGGGCCCTTATCACTCCAACCTAACCCATCCTTGAACGTTTAGTCTCACTAGTGAATGTATGTCGACTTTCCAATTTTAAGGAAAATCCGGTAGCATTTTCCCCCAGTTCTCCAAGTACACGACGTAGGTAATTACTTACCCACATATGTACCCAGAGAACATGGTGATCGAGGAAATGGTAAGCCAAGATGTTCCTTAAAATCGAAAAAAAGGACATACATTCACCGCCTAAGTGAGAGTAAACGTTCAAGAACAGTCCCATCCAGGGACTATTCAAGACTTTCTCCTAATGAGAAAGCCTTGAACGGGTATCTAGGCATATGATGATACATGCAATCAATTAAAAAACAATGGATTAATCACACATCATGATAGAAGTTGCACTAAAGTTATATCATACACCATCTCCACAAAAGTGTGCAAACAAGAACTTATATATAGCACATAAAGTTATATGTATACCTGAGTACCTATAAAGTCTCAACACTCTCAAATAGAAGGTCAATGCCAAGGTCAATGCTTCGCCCAAAAATTCCTCTGAATCTTTTTCAATATAGCCTATATAGAACACAAATAGAAAACCGGATTAAGGGAAAAGATAAGAATGATATTAGTGAGCAAGAACAAGGACAGTCAGAGTAAGATACCAAGATGCTTTCCGCCCACTCTCCAAACTGATGATCTTAACCTAGAAGCCCTTGACACTCATTTCTTAGCCTGAAACACATATATAGTGAGAACCAACTCGTAAAGAAAAGTATATTCAAGGGAAGTTAAATGAAGGAAGCAAAATGTTCGACGCTTAAACTCATAAGTTACAGAAACCCTAAACCCTAAACCCTAAACCCTAAACCCTAAACCCTATACCCTATACCCTAAACCCTATACCTTATACCCTAAACCCTATACCCTAAACCCTAAACCTATAAATGCTTTACTCTTATATACTTTACTCAATATCTAATGCTTACTTATCTCATTTGATACGCTTTTTAGTAGAATTTGATGAGCTACTAATGTAAATGAACTACTATTATTAGCTTCCTCTCAACTTTGTTCTCTTAAATAAAAAGTACTAAATTATCCTGTAAACAAAATAAAATTCTCAACTTTATTAGTGATGATAAATAAAGTTCTCATAACAATTTAGAATTATAGATAAATGCATGTTGTACTAAATAGAATTCTCAGCTTATAAACAGCAACAATAACAACTACAAAGGACTTACATTTGTGGAGGGGCAGCCTTGTGCGTTTAATGGAGGGGGAACCTTGCGCGTTTAATGGAGTAGTTAAGTAGCAATTGCCAAGTCCTAGCAATTACAAGAAACTTACAAATATTAAACTAAAGACCAATTCCTCATAAAACCACAACAATGGTGTTAATGCAATACATGGAGAAGCTAAGTGAATGGAGGAGCGTTATTACTTACCTAGGTCAAAGCTGCTTCAATAATGCATGGAGGGAGGCAGAAGAGAAGAACTGAGTGCGTGCGTGAGGAGGCAGAACAAAGCCCAGCCAGGCTGCGTGCGTGAGGAGGCCGAAGCTTCAATGGAAGCTTCAATGGAGGAAGGGTTGGGAAGAGGAAATGCAGAAAATTGAAGTAGCAATGTGAGTAAGGTCGCTTAGCTTAACTGCTTCAATGGAGAGGAGAAAGCTCGCACAGCCTTTCAATGGAGATGGAGGGAGAAGAGAATAGGGCGAAAATTTTTGGGAATTTTTGAAGCAAAAATGAGAAATGAAGAAAGTGTCGTTGAATTGAACAGGTTGAAGCAGCAAACGCAGCAAACCCGCGTTTTTTTTTTTTAAATTCCACCGGTTTAAACCGGTGCTAACTTGCTTATTTTCCACCGATTTAAGGAGAACCGGTGCCAACTCCTTCCTCGTCCTTTTTTTTTTATTTTACAAGTTGGCACCAGTTTGAACCGGTGCTAATTGCATGCTTGGCACCGGTTTGGGTTAGAACCGGTGCCAACTCTTAATTTTTTTGGTCCCGCCCGTTTTATTTGGCACCGATTTTTAAGAACCGCTGCTATAGGGGGGTGCCTATTTAATTTTTTCTACTAGTGGTTGAAACAGATTTAGAACGTCAATTCCACCCAAAAAACACTATTTTTGAGCCAAAATCCAAGTTCCCAGACCAAAAACCGGAAAATACGAGATTAAAACTATTCTAAAAACGTACTTCTAATCCAATTAGAAAGGCAAAACCAGAATTTAAATCTACTTTAAAACACCTTGATTAATAAATAATTGCAGTAATTAAAAGGAGCACGACTCCGTTACCGCTGTAGGGTTTCGTAGAGACCCACTCTACGCGGAAAGAAACCCACCAAGACCCGCCCCGATAACTAAAGCAATTAAAGCATGCAAAACATAATTAAAAATAATTAAGAGAAAAAGGGATAAAGAATTATACCCTAGACGCGTGCTTCGCTCACCGAAAGAGCTCTTACTTGAACCCCGCAATCGCAAGGTCTCTGACGGCTCGTACCCACGAACCCCGACCCGAGAGATCCAAGTCCCGAAGGTTAGTCGAGACCCGATCAAATAAAAAAGGGAGTTTTACGAACTTAAGGCTTTCTCAACAATGGAGATACCTTTGAGTTCTACTCAAGTTGTGTATTCTCAAAATTGTAGGGTTTCGTAGTGACCCGACACTACGCGGAAGGAAACCCACCAAGACCCGCCCCTTAATTAAAGAAATTAACAAGCATAATAAACTTAATCAAACAAGATTAAGAACAAGAATTATACCTTTGACGCGTGCTTCGCTCCTAAAGAGCTCTTACTTCAAAATCCCGAAAAGACGAGATCTCCGACGGATCGTACCCTTGACCCGACCCGAGCGTCCTAAGTCTTGAAGGTTAGTCAAGACCCGGACAAAATAACTGTGAGTTTTACGAATCAAAGGTTTACTCTTTCTTAGAGTTGCCTTTTTAATTCCACTCAAGGTTGTTCATTTCCCAATACCCAAGCTTGGTATTTATAGGGAAATGAACCCTTGTATTTCATTCCCCAACCAATGTGGGAGAATGTATAATTTGCTAATTAATTTATTTCTAAAATAAATTAATAAATAAATCTAATCATAATGCAACAAGTGTCAAAGGGAGAGAGAAGGTTAGGTGAGGACCATGGAGGGGGGGGACCATTGCCTTGCTCCCCAAGGCTTTCCCAAAGCCTTGGTCCCCACCCTCACAAAATCGCCTCACCTAAGAGGGGTGCTGGGCTGCTGCCAGCTAGCACGCCATCTAGCATGGTGCTGGCCAGCCCAGCCAGCTAGCATGTGCTTGCCCAGCAGCCTCGCATGCCTAGTGCTAGGTTGTGCTAGGCGCTGGTGCTGGCCAGTTCTAGGCGCTTGTTATTTTGCGACGCTCGGTCTCGACGCCCTAGGCTCGATTTTCGACGTCTGTATTCGTAAAACTCTGTCGACTCATTAAATCCTTTCGGATTAATTCGTCGTCTCGGATCGGTGATTCGATTGGGTTCGACCCGAAGGGTTCAGTTAAGATTAAGTTGTAATATCAATTGTACCTCGATATTACTGATCGGAAGCGGCCTCCACCTAGGCATTCCGATCACTTGACCTTATTGAAGAATTAGCTCTGTTATAATTCTGAACCCTCTATCGGAAGAATACACTTGTTGGAAGGACACCATTCCTTTCAAAAATCCCAACCAAATGGTATTTATAGAGAATGGGGACTTGAATCCCATTTCATGATCAATGTGGGATCATGTGCAAATGCACTAATTCATTTAATTCTAAAATAAATTATAAAGCAAATGCAATCACAAGGCAACAAGTGGAAAGAGGAGAGAATGGGTTAGGTGAGGACCATATCCCATGGGGGGACCATTGCCTTGCTCCCCAAGGGAAGCCTTGAGGCCTTGGTCCCCACCTCTCCTAAACCTCCACTCACAAAGGCAGCTAGGCTGGCAGCCAGCTAGCACGCTAGTACACCAGCCAGCTCAAGGTGCCAGCATGCACTGCTAGCACGCACTGGCCCCAGCACGCCCAGGATGAGCGTGCTGCGTGCTGCTGGGTTGCTTGGCGCTGCTAGCGTAATGCTGCTGCCTAACCAACGCACACAAGGCTGTGCGTAGTGCTGCTGCCTAGCCTCTCGCACACACAACGCATAGCCAGTATGCGTGCTGCTAGCGAGCCACGCATGCTGGGCATTGCCTCGCCAGCCACACGCACAAGCATGCTATTGCTTGGTGCTATGCTAGCGATGCACACGCACATGGCTACACTGCCTAGTGTTGTGCTATGTGCTACGATGGTGCGATGAGCTGTGCGAAGGCACACACGCTAGTGCCTAGCACTTGCGATGGTGTTGTGTTGTGCGAGGGGCTGCGATGGTGTGATGAGCGATGCTAGGCCTTGCTTAGCGCCAGCGCCTAGCATGCAAGCAAGGTCTAGCCTTACGATGCTTGGGCGCATGGCTTGTTAGCATATGCGCAAGCATCTAGCATGCCTAGCATGCTAAGCTTGCAATGAACTAGCCTAGCCTAGCATTCACATGGCTAGGCCAATGTGATGCTACAGCTATGCTCGTACTTGTTGCTTGTGATTTGCGACGCTCGGTTTCGACGCCCTAGACTTGATATCCGACGTCTGTGTTCGTAAAACTTCGACGACTCATCGAATCCTTCGGATTGATTCCTCGTCTCGGATCGGTTGTTCGATTGGGTTCGACCCGAAGGGTTCAGTTAAGATTAAGCTGTAATATTAATTGTACCCTAATATTACTGATCGGAAGCGGCCTCCACCTAGGCATTCTGATCACTTGATCTTACTGAAGAATTAGCTCTATAATAATTCTGAACCCTCTATCAGAATAATACACTTGTTGGAAGGACACCATTCCTTTCATCATCCTCCTCAACACCATTTGCTGCAGCATCCTCCTCCTCACCACCATTTCCAGTATCCTCTTCAACACCATTTCCTGCATGCTCCTGTATGATATAGATATAGATATAACAGCAGTCAGAAAATAATAGCAGGATAAGCAATCAGACCCTTTAAATATTGAAGAAAGCATAAATCTTACCAGGCTAGGCTACTTATTCTTGTTGGTTTTCTTGTAGCCAGTTTCAGCTAACGTTTTGTGCTTTGAACCCTTAGGCCTGCCCCTTTTCCTTTTCTTAATTATAGGGTCTTTGATAACAAGGTCCATGGCAGCTAGACAGGAAACTACGGCAGTAGCATCAGGAGCAAGATTCCTAACTGAGGTAAACGTTCTGCCTTCGGTGGCTAATGACAATGTACTAACTACAGGAACAATTTCCTTACTTTTCTTGTCCCTACGCTCATTAACAGCTAATTGAAGCTTCGATAGTGTTTCAATTACCATATGGATCGTTTGATCGTCCACCATGGCAGCGGTTTCACATAAGGGCTCGAATATTCGCATCATTTTGTTGAATCTCTTCACATTGACCGTGTCCCCCGGATCATGGTAGGCCACCTTCACCCTAGTGTGCTTCAGGGGTATGTCCTTCCTCCAACGGTCTACAACGTACTTCTCTGGTAGATCTTCAACCAAGTTTTCATCAAAAATCCTAATACAGTGTTTGCAAAGTATGCCACTTATCTCAAAATTCTTACAGTCACACTACACCTCCTTTGCCATTGGACAGAAAGTAACATTATAGGTTTTTCGCCTGTTTGTAATGACATCCTCACTCGCACCGGGAGGTAATATCCATACACGATCGACCACCGAATACTGAATAAGGTTTTCAGACAAAACCTTCTCTCCTCGGACATTGCAATACATCATTCTCGTACACTCCTTTTGAAATTCTTGAAACTTGTTGTCCGTGTATA